CTATTGTATGGATATACCACCTTTTATTTATCTAATGATGGACATGTGTTTTGTTTTTCTTTAACCTTTTGGCTATTATGAACAATGCTGTTGTAAACATTTCTGTACAAGTTTTTATGAAGACATATGTTTTTATTTATTTTGGGTACATACCTGGGAGTAGAATCACTGGGTCGTGTGGTAGTGCTGACAAACTGGTTTCAATAGTGGCTGTACCATTTTACCTTCCCACTAGCAGTGCATGAGAGTTCCGATTTTTCACATTCTCACCAACCCTGGTCATCTGTCTTTTTAAAAAAATTTTTTATTGGGGAATTGGGGGGATGGGAACAGTGCTGGGGAATTGGGAGAAGGGGAACAGACAAGTTGCTGTCGTCTTGTTCCTCAGTCTAGTTGTGGAGGACGTCGCTTCACTGGCCCAAGCTGGCACCATCATTGCGCTCCTCCCGGGCAAGGCACATCAGTCGCCGGCTTCTGGACAGCTGCTCACTGCTGGCTGCTGGCTGCACATGGCAGCCCATGGCAACCCACTGCCACAGGGGCTGCAGCCCACGCCGTCGCTGGCGACCCACAGCAGCCCAGCTCCAGGTTGAGCCGCTGTTCAGCATCCTAGCTGCGGAGGGCAGTGTCACCGGCCCTCACACGTGGGATCCGAACCGGGGCCCTCTGGCGTCCCAAGCCAGCTCTCAACCATCGCGCCACTCGGCCGGCCCTCATCTGTCTTTTTTACTCTAATCATCCTAATGGGTGTGGAATGGTTTCTTATTGTGGTTTTGATATATCTCTGTTTTAATTTTCATTTTTCCATTTACTAATGAAGTTGAGTGTCTATTCTTTGTCCATTCCTATTTCCTCTTCTGTGAACTTCCTGTTCATAATATTTGCCCATTCCCACTTGCCTTTTCTCATTGATTTGTAGGAATTTAAAAGTACATTTGGATATTAAATCTTTTTGCTGATTTTATGCACGGCAAAATATATCTTCTCAGTATCTGGATTTGCTTTTCACTTTGTTTATGGAATGTCCCGTGGAAGGCCCTCACTTGCTCTGAGTCTATCAGAAGGGAGTTGAGTTGCATCGTTACCCTTGTGTTCCACCACCCCCTAGGGGACCAAGCTTAGCCAGAAATCAGTGTATGTTCTTAACTCCCAGATGAGAATCTCTTCTCTTGAGTTTCAGAGGTTTCCCATATTCCTTAGGATATAGTATGAACTACCCAGCTGGCCCCCTACGGCACCATGGTCTGGTTTCTTCAGCTAATGTCTTGCACTTCCTCTTCACTCCCACTTATTGACACAGAAATAGCCTTCAATTCCCCAAATGCCAAGGTTCTCTTTGCTTAGCTAACTTCTATCCCTCCTCTTTTCCTGATCTTAGATTCTGGGAGCTGTCCCCACTGTAGGCTCTCACAATTTCCTATATTCCCCTTATCAAGTGACTTACATTTTATAGAATTTTATGGCAATTTCTTCGTTATTTGGTTGTGACCTTCCATAGTACTTATTTGGTTCCTTAGACACTTCTCTTTCTTCTGGAGAATTACTCTTTCTATCTTTATGAGGGGGTTTAGTAGGACTGTCAGACTCCACCAGCCATGGAGTGAGAACATGGCTCAAACAAGGCTGGCTGATCAATCAGTCTCTCACCCAGGACTTTGAATCTTGAGCTGAGTGACTGTAGGGAATGTGGACCCTGAGAAAGAAGATACCTACCAAGAAAGACTCCTGGTGGCTAACTGGGCTCAAAAAGCAGAGGCTATAAACTGTTTCTAAGTAGGGGTGTTCCATGCAAACCACACTTCAGGGAGAAGCCTATACTGAACTGCTCATCTGAACTGTGTTCCTGCCATTTGAGCCAGCCCTTATAAAGGAGCTCCTGGAATTGTATTTCAACAAATAGGACTGAGGCTTTCCCTCTCCAACTGGAGCTGCACAGCTATATCCCCATCAACATTTTCACTGACCAATCAGAGTGCATCCATTCTGACCAATCAGGACAGTGCCTTTTGGACCAATCAAACTGTGAGGATTTGGAGTCCTCATTTGCATGAGGACAGACCAATCAGGGTCCACAGGTCTCTCTCTATAAGTCAGCTCCCCTCTAGTTCATGCACTGTACTTTTCCTTTGCACAGAAGACTGCGTTTTCCTGGCTGGAGCTGAAACACCAGATGTGTCACCAGTCCAGACTGGAGTAGAGCTGTCTAGCAAGAAAGGGGCCTCGCCCCAGGGCCGCCTCACAGCCATGTTGTTCCACAGCTGTGCTGCTTCATAATTGAGCTGTAACACCACTGACTGTTCCACAATGGTGCTGTTCTCACAGCTGTGCTGTATCACAACTGAGCTGTTTGCATAAAGTTTCCTTCTTCACTGCACCCTGAATTGGGGATTCCTGTTGGTGTTGAGTTGTCACCAATGACCATGTATTGACAGGAACAACAAATGAACCTGGTTGGAGTTGGTTTATCTGAGTGCCATCATGGTGATGAGATTGCCAATTACCTCCTGCTGGCAGAATCCCTGAGAGATGAGTTCTTCAGCTCTTCCTTTGAATCCATGAGCTACTAAAAAATTTACTGATAAAATCCTTTTTTGGGGGGTTGGGGGTGATGGGATGAAGTTAGCCAGCTAGTATTGGTTGCTTGCCATCAAACAGTGTTTGTGGACACATCTCTGCAATATTGCAGGCACTGCAGAGGCAGCATTGTGTCCTAAGTTTCGTGCCTCAACACATGTGATAAGTTTCAAGTAACAAGAAAATACGGTAAATAGAAAACAAGATGAGATGAAAGCAGTCAACTTAACTGGGTCAGTAATAACAATATATTAAAATAGTTTAATTTTCAATATTAAAATTCAGATATTCAGGACTTAATTCTTCATTCCTTGGGATCCTTAAAAAGACACACTCTTACCCTGAAAGGTCTTTACAGTTTGCAATGTATTAAATACACACCAGCCCAGAGCAGAGAAGGCTCTCAGGCAGAGTAGCAGGAACTTACAATCTAAGGGTAATGTTATGGGCTGAATTGTCTCCCCTTCCAAATTTATATTTTGAAGCTCTAACCTCCAATACCTCAGAATGTACTCTCTCAAAATTAAAGAGTCACAGCGTAGAGATTTTATAAGTTACTGTGAAGAGAGACTGTAGTAAGTGTCCATCCCCACAGCTTCTGAGACTGTCACCCAGACTCATCTGCCCAGTAGGAAGAGAACTACTAGAAGGAGGTGTAAGGGGAACAGGCTTATCTCCTATAAACAGCCAAGGGGCTGCAATGTGAGGATGTGAATGAAATGGGAAAATTGCTGCATAAAGTAAAACTAGAGGGGTCTTGAGTTGTCTGAGGCTGATCGTGTGCTGTGTACTTCTGAGTTAAGATGAACTTAATCTCCATGCCTGGAGAGAAGAAAATAAAATAAAATGAAATATAACACAGTAAAGCAAAATGATAAGATGAAGGGACATCATGTTTGGTGTAGGAGGCGTCTGGTGAGACTGTCTGGGGGGTCTTCCACCTTATACATTCTGGGGCAGCCATGGGCAGGAGAAGCTGTCTGCCAATGGGGCTTTAGGAAATAGTTCGATTTGGTCTCTTTAATTTGGGGCACCTGGGGTTCCTTCTAGTCTCTGTAAGCTTTCAGTTGAAGAATGATAGATGGCAGTTACTAACCTCACAAGTAGAAAGCATTTCCAATTCCTGGAGCTCTCCTGCTGTCGGGGATATTAACCAGCAATCTTGGCTTCATCAGATTCCACAGGAGCCAATGGGTTTCCTGACACTTAAGTAGGAGATGACCCCACCCAGCCAGCCTGCACCTTTGCTTTTGGATCACAAGGGGGCCCTTTCTGCAGCTGGTTTCTCTCATTCTCCAATCCATTGTACTCATTAATATCTGGTTAATATTCCTGAATCATAATTTTAATCATGTCACCCTACTGTCAAAAAGCCTTTAACTGTTACACTCAGAATAAATATCAGAACCTTAGCACATGATTCAAAGCTCTCCCTAGTTTGACCCCAAACAACTTCTGTGACTTTACTTATTACATTGTAAAATATTATATACTTCTGGTTAATTTCTTTATCATATAAACATCTGTCACAGTGTCTTGTAACTGAGAGGCATCCTTAAACATTTGTTGAACGAATAGTAGATGGATGGATGCACCAAAACTTTGAAAGTGAGCAATGAAAAAATTCTGAATTAGGGTTCAGAAATTGGCAAATTTGATTTCTGTGTCTTCCCTGTCTTCCCCCGATCCTACCTCTACCTGTCTTTGATTTCTTAAATTGTATTTTCCTTTCTTTTCACTTGGGAAGCAACAAAAAGTAGATTGGTGATGGGTGGTCTGGGATTGCTTGTGACATGTTTAGATAGTGTGGAGATTGGCTTCGTTCAAATGTCTTTCTTGAAATCTTCTGTGATGTTTTTATCTAAAAGAAATATCAACATGAAAAGAGTATATGTTGAATTGGTGATTATGAGAGTGGTCATGGGAGGAGGTAAGATTTGAGCTGGACCTTGACAGTGGATATTATTGCAATAAGTGAAATTGAGGTAAACTCCATGCAGGAAGATGCTGTACCTACCTAGTTCTACCGGATCTCCAGAGTTTATTAGAGTATCAAGCATAAAACAGATACTCAATATATAATTCTTTAATAATCCACCAATAAATGAGCAAAGGAAATAGAGAGAAAACATTAAATATATTTGATGAACAATAAGGTCTATTTAGCTGGAACAGCAAATTCTAGAGAGAACAAGGTTGAAAAGCAGTGTTCCGCCAAAATGAAAGGGCATTAGCAAATAAAGTTTGTAAGTCCTAATCCATTTGGCATCCCCTGCCTAATTCAGAGTACTCCATCGTTCCAGTCTAGCTGGAAAACTATCCCTAGAACAGTCCTCCAGAGAGAGACTGGGTAGTACTAAGGCACTGAGGAATTGTTAAGAAGATAATTTGTGTCAGTGAGGCTTAATAAAAAGGGGAAACTGAGGTACAGAAGAGGCTTTGGATTGTATTAAAGAAGTCACAGAGTACTACAACCTCACAACCAGAGGGCACATTTGCAGTGGGCACCTGAACAGTGCTCAAGGGACCAGATGGTCATGCCATGCTACAGGGGGACCCCAGGTCAAGATGGCCAGTAAACATTGCTTCAGTCAATTATACCAAGAAAATCAGATAAATCAAATGCTTGGTGGAAAAACAAATGATAATATCTACTGACAATTGCACATCATTTAGCAGTTTTAATAATCTGATTTATTTTGTGTGGAGGCTAGTTGACTAGTGTTGATTACATTTTACAGATTAGATAACGGGTTCTGAAGGGCTGTGGCAGTGAGTCAGCCCAGTGCCCAGCATTCAAATCTTGTGTCTCCAAATCCACCAGCTGTCTCCTTCACTGCTTCCCCGGGCCTTGCTGTTGGCGTTGGCAGTGGTTCTAGAGCTCATCTGTCTCATGTCTCAAAAAAAGGGTGACTACTGGTCTTGAGACCTTGAGGAGGTCTGAAGCCTCCTCAAGGTCCTGCTTCCTGACCCTCATGCCATGGGACAATGAGGGGCTGGGCCAGGCTGCTGTGCTGAACGTGGCAAGAGTAGGGGTCTGTGTCTTGAGAGGGGATTTTCACCTCCACCCAGGACTGGTAAGAGTCACTTTCACTGAGATCCTCTCCCTGTGACTCAGTCTCCACCACATTGCTGGCCCGAGTCCAGTACAGACTGATTGGTTGTGGGTAGAAGTTGTAGGCCAAACACTTGAGGGTCCTGGTGCCTCCTGGCGCCATCTGGCTGGTGATTGACACAGAGGGATGATCTGTGGAAGGACAGAGTGTGGAGGTTGAAGGTCTGAAGGAGACATCTCCATGCTCATGTCTCCTCCACCTCTGGAGTTAAGGATGAGCAGAGCTCTTGGCTCTCTCCCTGCCTCCCCAGGGAAAGTTTACAAAGATTAGGGAAGCCGAGGCTTTCCATGAGCCTTCCCTGTTTGATATTGGAATATCTGTGGCTACTGCCATGCCACCCAGCACCTTCCCCTCTCCACCGTGTATTGGCTTCTGATGGCAAGAAATTGTGAATGTCCCCATATATTTTTCTATTTTTTCCCAAACATCCCGGTGGGCTTTGTGGCTCCTGCCTTCCCCAGTCTCAGCCCCACCCCTTAGCTCTGCCTGCATGCAGCTCTGTCATTCAGACCCTTCCCTGCTCCCTCCCATAGGACTCTCTTTCTCATTACTTTTCAGATCAAAGTCTCAGCTTGTGACAACTAATCCTGCTCACACTTACTGTCATCATCCTTCCTGGGTAAACATTTTACTTGCCTGGCTTCTCCCCACAGCCAAGCCAGGAGGCATATCATAAAGAAATGACTACAGGATTTGCCTGAGATGTTCCTCTGAGCTCCCAGCCTGGGATCACCTTGGTCTTTGTCAGCTCACTATGGGGAAACAGGACATGCGGAGCATTGGGTACCTTGTCGGTCCAGGTAAATCTTGCTGTATTGCAGGTACCTCCGTAGCTTCTGGGGGCACTCATCTTCCATGGAGGCCCTCGCCCGCAACACAGAGCCTTCTGTCTCCCACTTCACCTTGGTGTTCAGAGCTTCTGGCTGCAGTGGGATCCAGGCTGGGATTTCTGTGTTGAACTCGATGTAGTCCTGTCCATCGTAGGCAATCTTCCAGGATGCCCCACAGTAGCTGTTATTCCGGAGCACACAACTAAACTTTTCCCGTGTGGTGTGATTCCCTGCATCAACCCAATGACCCGGAAATCAGTCAGTCTGCATCACATCAACTCCATCTTAATAACTCTTACTCTTACACAGTTTGCAACCCACTAAGAAGGAAGGATTTTGAAATCTAAGCTTGTAATCCCTTTATCTTGGCAAATGGGTTATTAACCAGACATAGAGCAGACAGAAAGAGGGAAACTTGGTTTGGTTTGATGTTTTAGGCCAGTCTGAGATGAGATATTTTCTTCCCAGCCAGAGAATTTCAAAGAGCTACAGACTGTGGAAGACCTTGTAGCCCCATGCAGTGTTTCTCTTGATTAATTTTGTTTGAACATACTGTGAGTATTTAGAAACTGGACGGAAGTACACAGAAGTGCATTGCATAGTTAAATAGAATTTATTTGTAGTTTAAAATAGATTGTGCAATCTCTCCTTTTTCCCCAGTTCAACATGGAGTTGATGTCCCCAGTTGAGTCAACATAATTCGATCAACTCTTCCTTCTTTTCTGGTGATTGATATCTTTAAACAAATCTCTAATGCTCACCTCCCTTTCCAGTTGGCAAGAACTCTTGGAAATTGGCCTCCTTAAGAAAGGGGAACAGAACCACTTTGTTTTGATTATAAAGGTAGGTGTTTACCGGATACTGATTAATGCCATTGGCACAGGCTCTGGTCTTAAGCTATCTGGGCTAAAATCCCAACTCTGTCTCCACTCCCATCTGGCTTGTTACATGAACTTGAGCCAATAATCTGCTGTGCTTCAATTTTCTCACCTCTAAAATGGCAATGGCAAATGTTAGAGGGTTATTGTGATCGTTGCATATGTCAATACCTGTGCCTAGCACATGATGTTCAATAAATGTTAGCTCTGATTATGTTCTAATGCACCATGTTCATCTCTTTATCCTCTTTACTCATGATAACTCATGTCAACATTTCTATTTCAGTCAATCAAACTTTGTTCCAGTGTCCTTCCTGGGCATCTGTGCCTTACCCTCTCCTATTTCTGAGCACAGCCTAAGTTGTTTTCTTACCAGGGCTCCCATTCCACATCCTTCAGATTTCTGTGCAACTCTTGCCTCCTTTTGGAAACTTTCAGGTTTCGTGTAGCATCTTGGGTACTCATAAACCCACCTTTTGGTATCCACCCTATAATAATTTTAAATTACCAGTTCGCCAGGCTGATTTGGGGCTTTAGGCAGTGTGGCTCAGAAGAAAGAGTGCTGGGCTGAGAGACATGAAAACTAGTCTCTGTGCTCCACTCTGCACCAGCTCCTCACACCACAAACCCAGAGACCCCTCCCACCCTAATCTGCTCCTTATGGACAGAAGGGTCTTTATGATTTTAGGGAACTTTGACAGTTTGTGGTTTTAAATTCAGTCCTTCTTGAGCTCCTAGTAGGAGCCATGGTTTGTGCTGGGTACTTTCTCTCAATCATTCAGCGTATTTCATTTGAGCAACTATTATTTGTTCTCCTAGGTGATCGGGCTCCAGGGGAGATCAAAACAGGCTATGTTCTAGCTTTCATGGAATTTACCTAGATAAGTTTTAAGAAATCTCTCGGAGGCAGGACTCAATGCTCCAATTTTTGCAGATTCAGACCAGATAACTAAGAACACATTCACTGTCAAACAGCTAGTGACTGGAGGAGCCACCACATGAAACCTGGTCAGAATGACCCTAAGGATAGCTCACTTCCCACCCAACATCCTGGACGGGGATGAGTCTGGCATCTAAATTGGGATCTGCCTCAGACAGGTGGGATATGAAGCTGAGAGGTCAGATGTGCCTGGATAAGGGCTGACTCTGACATCCCTTCCTGTGAGAGTTGAGGCCTGGGAGTGAGGATGAGGGAAGTGATAGGGAAAGAGGAAAAGCAGCTGTGTAGCAGGGAAGGGGTGATGCAGAAATGTCTGTGAATTTCTAAATGTGCTTCTGGCTCCTCTTTTGGCATGGGGAGTATTTCTATCCTACAGATCCCTTTCCACTTGCAGTTGTAGTGCTGCCTCTTGAGCTAAGATCCTTGACCTCTGAAGTCCATAGTCTACTGACCTTTGTCCTTGTAGTAGCTCATGATGTCTTCCAGGTTCTTCAGGATGAAGTCCCCCCTGGCCTTCTGACGTTTACTCTCCTCCTCCCAGTCCTCCATCCCTTTCACCTGTTTCCACGGGCCCAGGGGCTCAGCCTTCCCACTTTCACTATCGTAGTGGAAGAAGGCCTGGTCATTGAGGTAGCCAGTGGCCTGAAAGCTGGGAGAGGCCTCAGTAGACCTGGACACCGCAGTGGAGTAGAAGGTCAGAGAGTAAGGCCCTGCAGAAAAGGAGAAAAATGTGAGAAGTGAGGTCCATGCAAGGGATCCCACTGTGGGGCAGCAGAGGACCAGGAAAAGAAACCTGGTCACTGGGCCTCTTCCTCCCCAGATCAATCCACCCTGCTGTCAGCCTCTTACTACTGGAAACTCACTCAAGAGAATGGGCTCTACTTCTATTCTGGGGATGATATTGCAAAGATCATTTTTGTGTCTTTGCTACATTGCTTTCACTCTTGGCATATCAGAAGATGATATTTCTCAGCCTTCTTGTAGGTACATTGGGACTATGGACTGAGTTCTATCAAAGTGGAATGTGAATGGAAGTAATGTATTTCTTCTTATTGGAGACCCTGTGGGCTGGTTTGACACCTCTGTCTCTTTTCTATTTAGACAGCGACTGTGGGGGCAACAAGACGAATCAGAAGAGTTCCCAGATATAAACAGCCTGCATCCTTGAGTCACCCCATGTGTTGGGAGCCGGCTGTGCCTCAGTGTCTGACATGGCCAAGCACACTGCCGTTGTAATAAATTCTGAAACTCTGACTGAGAAACAGATACTACTTTATCTCTTAGGAAATTTATATTCCCTTTTAGACACCCTCAGTAGGATGAAGATCTGGCTCCCCTCCCGATATTGATTATTTTATTTACCTTAATCAACTTAGTAAGTCTTGTATATTACTATAATTCTATTTTATACACTAAAAGCAATTTCAGTCATACTGCTAGACTCTTAGTAATAGTAAACATATGCACCCTGTGAGTCTTGAGATCCTGTTTAGCTAGTAGTGTTTAGGATAATTGCTGGATAGCCATGGGAACCATTCTTTAGGATATGATGCAGAGACTTAGCTTTAGCCACATAGTAATTATAGGTAAAAGATTGAAACATAGTTAAGATAAGCATAGAACAGGTCTAGCTGTGCCCTGTAGCATAAGAATTGTTAGGAAGTGAGACTCTGAGAAAAATAGCCTATATGGAAAAATAACCCTGGGAAAATAACATCAATACTGTGTAAAAACAATTTTCTCATGAGGTAATGGTCAACTGTCCAGCATAAAAAGGACTCTACTGTAACAATAAAGTGAGACACTTCTCTTCTTGAAAAAGCGCCCCTGTGTCTCCGCGTGTTTTACTGCATGCTGTAAGAATAAAGGGTGAGTCACTTCTATTGAAAACGCTCCTCGTGTCTCTGCTCCCTCTCTTTGTCATCTCCCTCCCTTCCTCTCTCATCTCCTTGTCGTGTGTGTCTCTCCCTCCCTCCCTCCCTCCCTCCCTCCCTCTCTCTCTCTCTCTCTCTCTCTCTCTTCGCCGACGCCGTCCCCACCAAAGGGCTTTCCCTGGACCTGTGGGAGCTGGTCTCCCCCATCCATGGAGGACAGAAATGTTGCCTGATCTACTCTTATATTCAACTTTACATGAGCAAGAAATAAACATTTGTTGGGTTAAGACACCAACAATTATCTTAGTTACTAGAGCATAGCCCAATTGAACCTGAAAAATACATCTAGTTAGAAAGTGTAGGAAGGAGAACTGACTAGAAACCTCAGGAAATAACCCAGAAAGGATCAGCATAAGGGAAGAACATGATGGCTCTCAGGAGTTTCATGGCTGTCCCTGAATTTTGGTATGAGGCAGGAACTGGGAAAGGAAGGGACATTTTCCTAATTAATTACATAATGGATTCATGATATAACTCTCCTGAGTGTTACTAATGTTAGAGGTTATATAGCAGATTCCTAGTCCCAGTACTGAAGTTATTCTTGCTAATTAGTATCTAAATGTGTTTACCATTTTGCTCAGTAGACAGTGAGTAAAGCACATTACCCTCAACAATGTAGGTTGGCCTCATCTAATCAGTGGAAGGCCACAAGAGAAAAGACTGAGGTCCCCAAAGGAAGAAGAAACTCTGCCTCCAGACTGCCTTTGGACCAAAAACTGCAACATCAACTCCTCTGGGTCTCCAGTCTGCTGACCTACCCTGCAGACTTTAGACTTGTCAGCCCCCACAATTGTGTGAGCCATATTCTTAAAATAAATGTCTCTTTTTCTCTGCATATACATGTTGTATATTAGTTCTGTTTCTCTGGAGAACCCTAACCAAATTGATTTTGGTGTAGGATGTGATTAACATTCTAAATATGATCAATTGTTAGTTTGGAAATGTAGTGAATTCTAAACTTGCACAGCTTAGCTTACATGTCTTAATCCTGAAATTGCCAACAAAGCCTCATTACTCTGTCCTAGAATTGACTCTGGTTCTTCCCAAGTTCCAGCTGGCTCCTTTCCTACTCACTAGCCTTCCAGGCCCTGTCGTAGTGTCTGACTGTGGAGTGAGGGAACAGGGTCTTTCGAGAAGCACCCTTCCAGTCATCATGCCGTCACATAGGCCCTCTGTGGTCTCTGTCTCTCTGAGAGTCAAACAGGTACATTCAGCCATTGGAAGGAGGAAGGAACAAGAAGCTCCACCTGTATAACCCCTGCTCGATCCTGGCTGTATGACCCTGGGCAGGTTACTTCATTTCTCTGGGTCTTAGTTTTATTCATTTGTAAACTAAGAGTTTTAGATTCTGGATCTTTGAGGTCTTATTTACCACGATTCTAGAGGTTCTCTGAATGCTTCTAGGAGTGTGTGAGCTGAGTTCATTGATATCCTAAGACACTTGGGTTGCCCATCTGCATCAGAGGCCATTCTCCAAGCCCATCTATCCAGTTCATTGCCTCCCCTTCGTTCTTCTCCATACCCAGACCTTGCTTCCACACTCACCATCTTGGGTCTCCTGGGTGACTGCAGGACTCAGAAAGAGCAGCAGGGGCAGCAGGACAGGCACCATTGTGCTCACTGCACGTGGTTGGAAGCTACTGGATTCCCCCAGGTCCTGGAGCTGTCTATATGGACAGAGAGCCAGAGAGAGTCTCTAGGGAATGGCTGGTATTTTGAGCCCTGCCCAGGTGACGTGAATGCATATGCCAATGAGAACCCCAGGATGGGCTTCTCTCCCTACTCTGAGAAAACAGGATACACAGGCCAGGCTTGGCGGATGTGGTGTCTACAGACAGTCTGCCAATTCAGAATGAGACAGCTGATCTGGGTTGGGACTTTGTCATGGGTCCACGCTGTGGCATTTTTTGCCCCTGTTGACAGCAACATGTGTTTATAGTACTAGTTCCATGGTGTGATTATGCCTGGGCTTCTCCTGCCTATTTCTGAGTGTCAGTTTTTCAGTCTTTCCATTGATTCAGAGAGCTAACTGGTAAATATATTTGTCTTCTGCTTAAAGTCAGAATAGGAATCTATTTCAGCCACTAATGATTCTGACTACTACTGAACCTTGGACATGATTATTTTTAGGCAATAGTCACTCAGGGAAATGGAGGGAGAGGAACACATCTTGATTATGGGGTCAGATTGGGGCTAAAGGGAATGAAAAAACTGATGTCTTAGGGACATTCTTGCAGGTGGTAAAAGCAGGGAGGGTCAAACAGCTGGCTGAGTCATCTCTTGTTGTCGACTAGAATAAATGCTCAGTGAAGGCAATATATTCGGTGCCAAGCAGGTGCTGCCATAGCACCTGGAGAAATTCAAGAACAAAGTCTGTGATGCTCGAGTCCACAAGTACTGGAAAGATTACAGAAAAAAAGAATAAACTCTACAGCAGAAATTATTGACTCAAAGCACAGTCTGAAAATCAGGTAATTTCTACAGCAGTGCTGAAAGAATCTTTTGTCTTTTCTAGTTGCAATCATGAAACAGACAAAAACCTAATAATGCCTAATATTAAAACCTAAGGACAAAATATGAGATTTCAGAACTTAATTACAAAGACCTAAAAAGTCTAATAGCCAAGTGTGATCAAGAGATTCGTACAAATCTTGTATGATTGTTATTGATGATGGGTGTCAAAAAGAGCTTCACCAGAGAAGGAAATCAGGTATGGAATGGCATCAGGAAAGGCTTCATGAAAGGTGTGGTTGAGAAGGACATCGAACAGGGAATTTCTGTTGGCAGCTAGGGGTTAAATTTCATAAGGACAGGGATGGTGTGTGTCGTGTTCATTTCCCGTCTGTAGTTGGCAGCTAGGGGGTAAATTTCATAAGAACAGGAATGGTGTGTGTCATGTTCATTTCTCGTCTGTAGTGCTTAGCCCAATGCCTGGCATAAAGAAGACAATCAATAAACGCTTACAAAAGTAGATCAATGGATAAATGAGCAAAGACCAAAGTAGACAGCACCAGACCTATCTAAGGGTCACTGAGGCCAATTTGTTAGAAATAGATTTCATGATGAAGATTGAGGGTAGGGCAGGTGGAATGATAAATTCAAAAGGGAGACTGGAGGTCGATTCTGGAGGGCCCCCATCCAAAGAGCTTCCAATGTCTTCCAATGAATGAGGCACCACTCCACTACTGGTATTTCCCCCCTCAGCCTATGTTCTCTGCATACCCTATCCCTCTAGGTCAGCAGTTCCAAGCCTTTGATGCCATCTACTCCCTTGGCAGTTATTCTGAAGATGAATTTTATTTTTTTTAATTTTTAGAAATCATTTGCTTTCTCCTTTCAAGATAGTTTTAAACGCATAAATTAAAACATGTAGAATACAGAGGAAGCCAGTTATATGGAAACATAGATCTTTCCATACACCCTTGGGGACTGATGGGCTTTTTGCAGAGGGGTCTCCCAGATACAGAGCAACATGCTATTCTAAAGCTACTGAGGAATTGTTAAGAAGGAGATAATTTGTGGTAATAAGGCCCTCCTGGGATGGGCTGTCCTGAAATTGCACTTGAAGTTGGTCCTCTCTGCAGGGGAATCTGTTGGTGTTCTTTGTTGGGTAGAGAAGAAGTGACCTTGGAAAGACCCACATTTGGTTCTCTGGACTCCTATATCCTCCCTGGTGTGACCGGTTGATGTTCATGGCCTGACCCCAAGTTCAGGTAACTTCTCTGTCAGAACCTTGTGATTCTTTCCTCTCAGGTGCCTCATACCCTCCTGGTCAGCAACAATCTTTCTACCTCTTCTTGGCAAGCTATCTTAACCTTTCACACCTCTGAAATCTGAATCCTTCCAGGAGGCTTGTTTTGGTGTGTGAGTGCCCTCTCCTCCCCCCACACCTGGGTCTTCTGAGATTTCCTCCATCTTGTCAGTCCTGCCCTGCGTCTCTTGTCCGAGATGGAGTGAGACATCACATTCCAATCTGTCTTAGCTCTGTGATGTTCACGTGGACTTCTGGTTTCCTCATTGCTATGAAAATTTTGTCTTGTCACATGTTTTCCTTATTTGTTCAAAGGCTTAGAATTTTTAAAAAAATATCACTGGCTGGTTTATTTCCTTCTGAATTATTTGGTTTTTCCTTCATTACTAAATATCAAAGACAGCATTTCTACATACCTCCCATCCAATACAGTATAATTAAAAATACTAGTGTGAGACAGAACTAAAGGACCATGTACCTTATCAGACCACTCTTTCCCTGGGGAGCTTGGGACAAGAATAGAAATTGAACTTAGGCCATTTTCTTGAGTTTCAGGAGTGGGCTGGCAATGTCCCTCCCTGCCCCTATTCTTGTCCTGAACCCAGAGCTTTTGAGAGTACTTTTAGTGGGTTAAGTAGGATTCTGAGGAACACCATGCCACACTTCTAAACCTCCTATTTTTTCCCCCCACTAGATCATCTACCCTCTTATATCCCCTCTCCTCAAGATTCCTTGACCCTGCTCTTGCTCAGTGCTGGTGAGTAGAACATAAGAAGCTGTGAACACTTAGTCCAGGGTGTAGGCAATCCCTCTGAGCATCTCCGGGCACTCTTCCTCCAGATAGCCTCAGCCACTTCACTGAGATGCTCTCTGCTTCCCACTTCTGATTATTGTTCAGGGTTGCAAGGTCCAAGGGGATTTCAGGCTGGAATTTCTTTGTTGAATTTGATGCTTCTGTCCATTGTAGGCATACCTCCAGAATGCTACTCTGCTTGTGTGTGTGTGTGTGTGTGTGTGTGTGTGTGTGTGTGTATTTTACTCCAGAGCTCTCAACCCAACATTCTTTGGAAGGTGTGAGACTGAGGCTGTGAAGGTATGGCCTCCCAGATCCCATACACAGTCACTTGGTCTGGCTTCATTTTTTGCTTTGTTCATGGCATTGTCTTCATCTCTGTTTTTTTACTTTTTTATTTTAATGTTTCACTTTTATGATTTGCTTTATGTTATAAAGTTATAAAAGCAGTTGAAGTGAGTCAATTTTTTGCTTGTTTTAAATAAACTTCCACAAAGTTACTTCCAATTACATACATAATCATTTCACAGTTCCTCCCTTTTCTGTTAATCATTTCCCAGGGATAATTCTTTATTTGAGACAATAAGTATTTTTTTCAATGCCTGGTTTATGCAAAGTAATATGGTTTCCAAAATATTTTTTCTTTATTTTTTCAAATATATATATATATATATATATATATATATATATATATATATATATTTTTAAGATTTTTATTGGAGAATTGGGGGAAGGGGAACAGACAAGTTGCTGTCGTTTTGTTCTTTAGTCTAGTTGTGGAGGACGTTGCTTTATTGGCCCAAGTTGGCACCATCATTGTGCTCTTTCTTTCCTGGCGAGGCAGATCAATCGCCGGCTTCTGGACGGCCGCTCACAGCGGCTGCTGGCCGCTCACGCTGGCTGCTGGTTACACACGGTAGCCCATGGCAGCCCATTGCAGCAGGGGCTGCAGCCCACGCCGTCGCCGGCGACTCACGGCAGCCCAGCTCCAGGTCGAGCTGCTGTTCAGCATCTTAGCTGTAGAGGGCAGTGTCACTGGCCCTCATATGTGAGATCCGAACTGGGGCCCTCTGGTATCCCAAGCCAGCTCTTAACCAATGTGCCACTTGGCCGGCCCTCAAATATTTTAATGGGTTATTTTGGAGCTATTACCTCCATGTATCTAAATAAAATGCTTTCTTAATATTTCAATGCTAGGCATTATAAAGTCAATATCCTGGAAAATGGTGATTTACCTTTTTTCCTTTCCTAATCTCCACCAAACACACCCATTTCTCATTATGCCTTCTCCGAATATAAACATTATATATGAGAATTTAGGTTAGACTTATATTCATTGTTTTCATATTTTGACTATTGAATACCTTTACTGCTTTGCTATGTATAATAGTAAACTATAAGTATTCCACTTTTCCATATAACTTTTTGTTAAATGGAGCTAATAGTTATTACCTTTTTATGTTCTTTTTCAACTGCAAACTCCTCACCAAACATTAATTTCAGAATAAGGCATTCAGAAATCTCAGGCTTAGACAAGTTGCTCTTCACACCTGGGATCTCTCTTGCTCATCATCATCCTGGGAATTTTGTCTCTTAACTACGTAGCATCTTCCATTTCCTAGATCCCATATACTACATATATCTTCCTCTCTTAGCTTTATTTTTCATTTTGATGGAGCACATTACCAAGAAACTTCTGGAGGTAAATTTTTTGAGTGCTTCATATCTGAAAATATCTTTATCATTCCCTCACACTTGATTAACTGGCTAGGTATAGATTTTTAGGTTAGAAATAATTTTATTCAAAGGTTGAAGGCATCTCTCTGCTCTGTTGTTTTCTAGCTTTCATTTGAAATGTCTAGAACCATTCTGATTTCTCACTCTTTAATGCGTGATCTATTTTTTTGTCTCCTCTGGAAGCTTGTAAAAATTTTTTTCTCTGCATTTTAAAATTTCATAACAATATACCTTGGTATGAGTCTATTCCTTCTCAATTCTTTCTTCATGGAACTCCTATTGTATAGCTGTTGGACCTCCTCACCTTTAATTTTCTTATCTGTTCTCTCCTACCTATTTCTTTTTCTTTTTACTATAGTTTCAGAGAGATTTTCTCAACTAAGGAAACTACTTTCCTCTCAGCTGAGGGTCTCCACGAACAGAATGAACCATCCTTCTGCTCCTGTGCTTGACGAACAATCTGGAGCTTTCCAAGGCCAGCAGGAGGGGCTGGAGAGGAACGCCCAG